TTAAGTTTGGCCAAAACAAATAGGCCAATTTTATTGCACACCAAAAGTGTTGATTCGAGTGTCATTGTGTTATTGTGTTGTCTGTTAAGGGTATTTGCTTGCGTAGGGGAAGAATGTTTGAAACAAAACTCGTGCTTAATGCGGACATCTTTAAAAATTAATCAATTAACGCAGCCCAAATCCTGGGGGCTCTTATCATCGCCAATGGGGGACCTTGCTTGACGCTTTTCCTGGAAAAAGGAATAGGGATTTAAGTAAAGATCTTATTAGATTTCAAACTATCGATTAAAACTCACCACAATTGAATGAATTATTATTCCCCTTGCTCATCTTTGATGTCTCATCTCTCATCGATGGCGTGCTGTGGATTAAGGATTGCTGGTAAGGCTTAGGACAATTAGGACAAGCCAAATCTCGTCGAGATCTACTCACTTCAGGCCATTGCGCACATCCCGATAGATGCCAGAGGGTTGCAGGTCATACACAGACTTCATCCGTTGTCCCTGCTGATGATGCTGTTGGCCATGATTATGATGCTGTTGCTGTTGCTGTTGCTGCTGTTGCTGGTTGAACTGCATTTGTTGCATGGGCTGGTTGTATTGCCACATGCCACCGCCGCTATTGTTCGATTGGTTCGAGTTGGTGTTCCATCCGCCACCGCTGCTGGGAGACGATGGACCGCCGCCGGTAACGCGACCCTGATGCATTTGCGTATGGGAACCTGAGTGGTCAAATTGCTGCATGGGCTGCATCTGCCCCATTGGTTGCATCTGCCCCATCGCGGACATGGGCTGAAGGTCGGGTAGGACAGCATTCATCCCTGGAGCTTCAATGGCTCCCATTGCATTGCCCATGGGCACCATGGTCATGCTGCTCAGCGGAGCCATCGCTCCAATTGGCAGCTGTGAGGACATGGTGGACATGGGTGTCATTCCGCCATTACCTCCGCCGGACATCATGTTCAGCGGCATGCTCTGCATCGGGTATGAAGACATCGGTGGGATGCCTGATGGCATTTGCATCTGCAGATTCATCTGTGGCGGATTCAGGGGCTGCACAGACATGGGTTGACCCTGACCCATACCGGGATTCATGTTCATACCGGGATACTGGGGGGCGCTTTTCATCTTGAGGGAAGAATAAGGGGTTAGTTAGTGGTTCCCTAGCAAATTTTCTTTGTAACAATTTGTACCTTTGAATCGGCATACATGCCGTAATCAGCTTCGTAGGGCACCGAGAAAAAATTCATCTTTTATGGAAATTACTGGAAATACTTTCGAAAAATGTATGCAAAAAGTTTTCAAGCACAAAATTTTGTTTACTTTTAATTTTTTTACCGAAAATTTTTGGATTTTTATTTTTTTTTTTAGAAGAGAGCTCTGAATGTTACGAGGAACGAAATACGAATGAAATTTACAAAAAGGCAAGATCCTAAAGTTTACAATCGTGTGACATTTCTAGGCCAGAGCTTACTTTGATCTTGAAAATTTGTGTTTTTTCGAAATTGGAGTTTGTATGCTCAAGTTGTATTATCATTTCACTCCTCTCTTTAGATTAAAAGAAGACAATTTTAAAAAGAATAATTATGAAAAATTATCAAAGAAAGAAATCTCCGTCTACTCCATCTCATTTCATTCTATTTTTAGCAAGTAACACTTAAGAATAGGGATTATTTAAGCAGCTCAAACTAGTTGCTTTGCGTCCCCCCTGGGCATATCGTGATCATCTAGCTATGTGGCCACCACGCCCACAGCTAAAGCCACCAAGGATGTGTCCAGGACAATTAATTTTCCCGCCGGCTTGTCAGCTTATTGTTTATCTACATAAATACGAGAGAGAGAGAGAGAGAGAGGAGAGGGGGAAACGAAACGAGGAGAAAAACTGCTGCCCGTGAGCTGGCGTGTCATTTATTCTGTCTGTGCCTTCTCTACTCTGCTCCTTCCCTGCCCGGCCTTGCCTTTGCCATGACTTTCGATATCCTTCTGGTGCAGTTGCCACACCATTTATGCCATTAAGTCATTAGCTTTGTTTAACAAATAACAAACTGTCAATGAGTTGATTAACGATGTTTTTCGCATGAACTGCAATTAGCCGTCGCCATCGCCATCGCCATCGCCGTAGTCATGGACGTTCGCTATCCCGCCATCCCAGTTGTTCCCACTGACAAATGGGTGTGATTTTGCTCCCAGCGGTGTTCCATTTGGATGGTGCATTGGATGATGGTCTTTGCTGGATGGATGGGCATTGGGTGGGTGACAAGGACTCGTTATTGATGCGCCCCCAAGTTGCCGTCACTTGGCGGCAATAATTGTGTATTGTACTCCAAGTCGACGGGCAATAGACATAGTCATGGAGCGCAGCAGTCACACTCATCCAAAGGGGGTTTGCAGTGATGGCTAACTAGGATATTTTCAAGCCAAGGCTATAGATACTATTTAGGCTAGGAAAAGGTGGTTAAATTTTCTTACTTATTATATTTTTAATAGAAATTATCAAATATTTACTTATATTTTCTATAATAACTGCTGAAGTGGGTTGACTTTTCTGATAAATGATGATGGTGATGTTTACTTAATAATAAGAGAAGGCAATTACATACCGTTGACAAGTGTCATGTCAGCCATTAGCATTGGCATCTCCTCTCGGTAGCTACACGTCCTTAGCTTCCCATTTACTATACCATTTCTGCCTGTTCCTGCCGTCGACGTGACTCGCTTCATCACTCATTCCCTGCATCGGTTGCCAACACGCTCCCCAGTTACCCACTTAGTCAGTGCTCATTCCACTTGGCCACTCCAGACCCCAGCTCATTGGGTTCCCCTGCACTTGTATCTCCCTTTCCAGGAGCGAAATGGAACCCTTAATACAGGTGCTATTATAATGGGCTTTAATAGTGACTATTAAAATCAGTTACTAAACTATTCAACTCCATATTGTATAAGATATATAGATATTCAGGTGTATGTAAAGTATAAGATATATAGATATATAGATAATCAGGTGTATGTAAAGTATACATCTTCCCTAATTTCCTTGATTATAAATCTTTATAATTCTTTAAAAACTCCCCCAAAAGTCACTTGAATCCGCTCCTGTTTTGAATGTATTTACACTGTAATTATTATGCAAAATGCAATTGACTCTATTATTTACGATATTGTTAAAGTTCGTGAGCAGAGTGCTAAATGCGTTGAACTTTCAATATATTTACATGGCTAATATTATATATATATTTCTATGTGTATTTTTGTAATCCGCACACACACAATATTTATATATATATAAGTGGGTTTGTGTGCGTGCGGTCGCTAATTGCCTTTGCCAGAAAGTTAATTACGGCAAAATTTGAAATTTTCAAAATTGGACTTGTCAAAAACATTTTGACATTTCCCCTCAGACACCCCGCGCCAACGGCAGGAAATTAGTTTTACAAACTTTTGTGTTTTGTGCATTTCGCACTGACTTGTAAAACCCTAAAAGTTGGCATTCATTGTTTGGGCTTCGACACAACGCTCATTATGCGCCATAATAATGCCGACTATTAGCCCTCGAAAATATCAAACAAATACTAAATGTATATTTAAATAAATGAGGAAACGCCAAATGCCAAAGGCCATTCATCAAAATGTAAATGATAGAGTGTCGAGTGTCCATTTGCATTACTTGCAAACATTTTGCCAATTGCCAGGCCTAATTAAGTGCCATGGATGCGTGTTAATGAGGCGAGTGTCGCTAAAAAATTGCATTAAAATTTGCAAGCAAATATAATTGGAGAGGAAATGTCATCATTTTGTGAATTTTGATTTGACTTTTCGACAGTGTCATGTTTTCGTGTTGAGTGGGAAATTAAAATGTTTGTGTTTTGTGGGTTTTTGTTGATGAAAAGCAAATAGAATCATAGAATTAGAGTGCAGTAATTTGTGTAATATTTTTCAAAGGATATGCTATGCACCTTATATTACATTGTGTTTGCCTCACCTTTGTTCAACATTTAAGTTGCATTGTGAGAAAAAAAGGGTTGAGACAAGCTCCTTGGCTCATTATGGCGTAGCTACAAGAAAATTCGCTGCTCTTGTTAAACTTTGCAAGCCGGATTCCTCCTCATTACTCATTAGACATGCACGCCGGGGCCAAAAGTCTTTGATTTAACACCTAAAAGTGAAGCCAAGGAGCCAGGAGCTGGGTGAGTGCAACAAAGGCCTCATTAATTAGGAATGTTAAGATGATGAAAACTAATCTGCTAAAAGCACACTCTCGCTACATTCCTCTCCTCCCATCGCCCATCTTCATCCTTTTGGGTGAGTCATTTGTCTGCCAGGATCAACGGAAGGAAACAGGATGGAAGCGGGAGAGTGTGGCTTCGGAGGCGTCATTGTTTGGCACCGGTTCACATGCGCTTAATGCACTTGGAAGCCATGGCTTCACCTTCGACAATGTTGCTGGATAAGCGTACAGACGCTGGCAAAACACTGGCAACAAGGCAACAAACTAAACCAGTACCACAGGACTCCAGGACTCTTTGCAAAAGCAAAGGCTACAACCGACCATGAGGACGTCAAGCTGAAATCTGTGCAAATCACAAAATTGGAAAAATCGAGGAGCAGCACTCAGGATGAGGATGAGAAGGAGCAGCACGGCTGCACAGGCAGCTAAATGCCAAGCGAAGTAGAAGCCGGAATCAGAATCGAGTCCTCCATTAGAGTTGGCCATAAAATAAGCAACTTGTATCGATATCGGGTGCACACCACCGCCACTGGCCTCAAATCGCTTTCCTCAGTTTTTAGCACCTAAAGAAAATGTAGAAAAAACCTCTATAGTGAATTTGGGAAGTATTTAAAGGGGTCTTGAAGAAATATTCAGGAATATGTAGGAAGTATAGATAGAGTTTTATATTAGATATGTTAGGACTATTATAATTTAACGAAATTAACTTTCTCCATGATCTCTTATTTTACCAAATGATATTGTTCGGTAAAGTTAGGTCACATGACATTATTTTTACATATTTTTGTAGGCTCGTAACTAAGTATATTACTTCTTTTCCCTCAGTGCACTCGTAAGCTCACGATGCCCCAATGCATGACGCTTGGCTGAGTGCAAATTCAATTAACTTGTTACAACACAAGCTCAGGATCAGCTTTGGCATCAGCATCTGCCCAGACGGGATTGGGATTTGTATCTATGTACTGCTGCTGCTGCTCCTGAGCCTGTGCCCAGATACTCAACTGTACTTTTACTGCACTTTGGTCCATGGTCCGCTGTCCATATCACTCGCTGAACTTTTTGTTGATTCTATTTGGAATTTTAATTCCAATCAAATTGCTTCTTGCTTGCGGTGCCCGCTCAAACAAACATTTATTTGATTTTCAGGCGAAGGGGGGGGCCTTCTAACGGAAAATGCATTTTTCCTCATTCAATTAATAAAAGATACCTTAGAATCCTTGATTCCAGGTAACGATAACCAATTGACATTTTCATTCCGGCCCTGAAACACGACGACGACAAATAGAAATGGAAATTTTGCAGGCGAAAGTCATGAATTTCTTAACAGTTTTCTTGAATGGAAATTAATAATCAATTGTCAATTACTCAATGGATTAGCAGAAACCGGAGGAGCAACGTAAATAAATGCTGGGAAAACACAAATCTCAGTCAAGAACATGTTTGCATTTGTGATTGGGAAAGCAGGGAAAGCTTAGACAGTGATTTGAATGGGGATTATGGAGTTGATAGCTCGGAATATTTAAAAAACTGGAAAGAAAACAAGTAAATGCACTCAATATGCAAAAGTTCTACTTGCTTTTTGTTTTATTAAATCGATTCAACTTTTGCTTTAAATTACATTTTCTGACAAGAAAGGCCGCCGGCTAAAAATATTCCTGTTTTTTTACCACCACTTTTCCCACAGAACCTTCAAAAAAATATATATTTCGCTTTCGTGGGTCATAATTTATGGCCTGTCCCAATGCCCGGTTCCATTATGAATTCATTAGCACCTGAGGGCTACGCAAAATGCCCGAAAAAAAGGGGAATTTAAAAACAGAAGTCAGTTGACGTTTCCAACAAAAAACACACAAAGAAAAAAGGCGCAGAGAAAAGCACAGAAAAAAGGTCTCAAAGAGCACAAAGTTCAGCGGGGTGTCAATAGGTTGAAAATTAAGGCCAAAAAAAAGCGTCAAGAGAAAGTGAGTCAGAAAAAAGTCCACAACAAAGTCCACTGAACTTGCGACTCTTTAAGTCGACCTTAAGCCTAGTCTGATCCTGGGATACTTTCCATCAAATAAACACTTATTTGCATATCCAGAACTCACTCCAACAGAGTGACTCTGAATGTCCGAAACTGAGACTGATTTGCTGCACAAATGATGCGATCCGTGTGCTACGTGCTCCGCCGTTTTCGATGGCCACCACTTTGGC